TTTCACTTTTTCTTTGCCCGGGTTTCTTTCGCTACGTGCCCGGTTAAAGAAATCAAAGAAAAACGAGCCAAACAAAAGAATTTATGAGCTACGAAAAACTTTTGGCCCCGCTTGGTGGGAAAAGCCGGGAGAAAATGGGAATGGGTGGGAGTGGCAAGCAGTTCTATCTTTGTTATGTTTCCCATTGGCATCGTTGTTTTTCCGAATAAAATTTCCATAAAAGTACATGCTGGCAATCGTTAATTTAAAATATTTAAATTGCTTTGTCAAGCCAGATAAAGCACATTCCTATAAATCCAGTGTGTATATACCGGGTATATTCTCGTTTTAGTTGTCCGAAAGATCTCAATTAATTCCTTCTTGGCGCACAAACTAAATGATTTACGCTCGGTCCAACCGAAAATCTGGAAGATTTATGATTTTGTAAATGAAATATGACTTTGGTAGTGCAAGTTTTCTCAAAGCTTGTATATTTTTCTCCTTTTCAAAAGCGAGCCAAGCGAAAAAGCCGATGAAGCTTGAAAACTAATAGGAATTTATGGTGTTATTGCTAGCAATTTAACTTAAAATGCTTTTATACAATTTATTGTTGACGATAGGCCAGCTTTCTCTTTGGGCTTTAAAGAGTAAAAGAATGGAATTTATATTATAACTATGATTTTTATCTACACATTCTAGTTTTCTTTAATGGAAAAGTATTAAAAAATAAAGTGAACCACTTAACTAATTAACCAATTAACTTAAAAGTGAATATCAATGGAGCATTAAAAGTGTACTTCAAAACTTACGACTTTCTTATCAGAACGGAAACATTATGTGAGTATAATTTGGATTGCAACTAAGGAACTGGGTTAACTTTATTGGAAACCCCACAAATATCAGGAAACGGAATTGCAAAAATACAAAATAAAAGTAATCGATGGCCCTCGACAAGGGTATCGAATGGATGCCAAGTGCTTTTTACGATTATATTTTATTTGGATTTTATTTCGGATTTCTTTGTCGCGACTCTGGCCTGCTGAAATTCAAAATCATGGCCATGGCTCCTAGCATGCGATTTCACGTTTTTCGTATTTATTTTTTTTACGTCTTTCGGTCTTTTAGCCACACACAGGCAGAAATACAATCACAAACACTCCGACCGAGAGACACGCAAATAAATAAATAAACATGGCTGAATAAATGAATATTAAATGGCCAAAAGCGTTGACCAAAAAAAGAGGCAAGTAAATACAAGTAATAATGGGACGAGAATAAACAAAAACCGATATTCGATACGCAAATGGCAGCTCAGCTAATTTTCAAATGTTTGCTGGCCTTATCAGTTTTTTGTGTGTTTGCCTTTTTTTGCATTTGTTTATTCGAAATCCGAAGGGGAAACTCGAGACCCAGCGCATGCAACCGTAGAATGCGTCAAAGAAATTTCAAATTTGATTGACGACAACAAAAGATTGGCCGCCGACGTCATCCGGCAAATATTTTAAAGCTTAAATTGGAACTTGAGGCTTGAGGTTTATTTTTCTAATGCTCTTGCCGCCCACGTACGGGGGCCAACAACAACAGCAACAGCGAAAGATACAACAGCAAAAAGAAACAACAGCGAAAGATACTTTTACACATACATATTCAAGTAGCGAGAGCGACGAAACCGCGAGAGCGGAAGCAACAACTTCGACAGCATAGAAGTGTGTGCGAGCGAAGGGGGCGTGGCGGGGGCAGGGGCGGATGAGGAGGGGTAGGGGGAGCGGCAGGGGCAGGGCGAAAAGGGGAGTGACAAGCTTTTGCGGTTTTTAGTTACACCGACCTCAGCTTGTTTGCGGGCACAGTGGGTTCAATTTGGGCCAGAACTGTTCAAAAAAGGTAATCTTAAAAAAATAAACAAAAAATATTTAAACTAAAAAACTTATAAAAAAAAATAACTTAAATTTATGGGACAAAAACAAATTTTACTAAAAGTATACTTTACGTATACTTAATATTCAAAAAATGCTAAACTAATCATCTTTAAATTAAAATTTTTAAGAACCTAAGATAGGCAAAAACATATTAACATATTATTAAACATTTTTGAACAGAAAAAAATACTTTTAGATTTTTCTTAGAGTTATACAGATAATGCTGTTGGAAATAAATCCGGTAAGTCCAAGACAACATGCAATCAATTCTTGATTATTGGTTATCGACATGAGTAACAATTCCTGGCTCTTAATTTTGGCCCACTGCTCCCGATGACGGTGTCTTTTGCCTTGCGCTATTGTCATTTACTTTGCGGCAAGCAATTACATGCGACAAGCCAGGCGGCGGTTGTTTGTTGTTGTTTTAGCTGTTGCTACTGTTGATATTTGATGTTTGTAGCTTATGGCTTTTGTAGGCGTGGCCCAGTTTATTGTTGCTGTTTGTCGTAGTTCGCCACATTTGGCCGAGAAAATTTATGTCAAGCCGCCTTCTTTTTGGGTCTCTGCGCGAAAACATGCGTAAAAGTAGCTGCTAAAATACAGCCCACTGTCCGCCCTGCCACCCGTCACCCTCTCTCCACCCATTTTTCGCAATTTCTAACGACGGCTGAAATTAAAATGCCTGGCAACAAACATACGCAAACTTTTTTGGCACCGAAGGGGTGTGGGTTAGGGTGGCGCGAATTATTGGTTGAACATACCACAATTTGAAAAAATATTTTTAGAAAACCTTAAACAAATGTTAGTTTTTCAAATCGAAAAAAGTATATAAGAAACAAATATTATGATTATTTAAACTGACAATTTTTATAAAATATATAGATTTGTTTAAATTGTACTGCTTTTGAATAAATTTTTGATGAAATATCAAGAGTTCAGAAATCATTCAAATTTACCTTTAACAAGAAAGTAAGAAAATCGATACTGATTAGATGCTTGTTACCAAAATAAAGGTGCCGTCCGAATAAATTGTGAATTCGGTTCAATTTAAATTTGGATCCACCCTACTGTGGGTGGGTGGCTGTAAGGGGTGAGGCAAAGTCCGGGAACTGGGAAAATGGAGGGAGCAAGATGGCCTGCGTTTAACAGCGGCGTTGACAGCCGCATTGGGCGCTTGGCATCTGTCAAACGTGTCATACGCAAAATAGCTTAACTGTCATAAAAACAACAAGTGCGTCAGGCAGCGGAGATCGTAAAACGCTTTATTACAAACCCCTCTCAAAGGGGGGTTACGTACGGCAAATGTGCGGCGACGTTTATGTCTCACAAGTGGGCTAAAGGGGGTTGTGGGTGGAGGAGTGTGGGCGAAAGGTAAACACTCGAAATTCCCATTGAAGAGGAATTCCTTGGGCGCTGTTTGTTGATTTCCATAATGTTTATCTTTTATGTTTTACCCGATTTATTTGATTTATTTATGAACTGACCCCGTAACCGAGAATCTTTTGTGGCTCGAACTTCCCTGAAATTAATTAGCTCTTAGGCACTAAACATCAGAGAATTCTGTTCCGTTATCCATTCCTTTGAGTTATCATACCAAAGATTTTGGAAAAAAAGAACAAACTAACTTGCTATTACTTTAGTATAACTAAATTCAGTGTATACTCTTATAAGAGTGTTGTTTAAAAAACAAGTTTCAAATAGACTTTTTTGTTTCATATTATAAAAGTTCTATCGTATTTTATAATTCGAGAACAGAATATATCTTAAGTTTAATGACGTATTCAAAGTTGTTAAACTGAAGTTACATTTTCTCTGTCACATTTTCGTAATTTATTTATTTTTATTTCATGTTTAATTAAGCTCATCGGTTTGGGAATTTCATAAAATGTGACTCAATGGTTTTACTAAAAATTTCGATCATTCCATCCTTTTTTTCAACATTATTTTAAAACAGACTTATTTTCAGAACATACATAAATTCCTTTAGTTAATAATTTCATAATTCCGATGGCTTTTGATATATTTTATCATTTTAATCTTCTGGCTTCCGCTGATTAAGTTGATTTCCCTGATGGTAATGCATTATGCTTTATCTGATTTATTTGCTCAGTATCCTTTTCCACTCTCCCACTTTCTCCCCCTCCCCCACCCTCTCTTTGGCTATCTTTCTCTCCTTTTCCTTTTACCCTTTACCGCTGCTTTATCTTCCTCTTCTTCTGGTCAGAACGCCAACGCCTCGCACACATACACACGGCCATAGTTTTTTGCCCCATGCACATGGCTGTGTGTGTGTGGGAACGTTGGGGGGTTTTAATAATAGCACACACACACATTATAAAAGCTCCCGCTGGAGCAGAGAAATGTTGCACTAAAAACTTCAACGCCCGCACTTCTGGCAAATATCAAACAGCAAGCAGAAATCACAAAAGCAAATACAAAACTTTCTTGCCAACACACACACATATACATTCGCTTCCCTTTTCACAGAGAGAGAGTTTGTGGGAGGGGATGGGGGTGGGAGGAGGTAGATGGCGGTACTGCCACAATAATACTCTTGTTGTCTGCGGCAACAGTTATGAAAAGTGCGGAAAAGAGAGGGAGACACAAAAAAAACAGGAAGTTTGTTGATTTTTTTTTCAATTAACACAAACGACAGCGGGAAAGAGAGAGAGAACACTTCTCTGTTGGGGGAATTGTACAATTTATGGGTTTTTGCACTATGTAAACAAATGCTTATACAACACCCCTATGCGGTTTATTAAATATGATTTTTGCTTTTATTTTTCTTTTGCCATTTTGTTTAATTTATTTGAATTTATACTTTTGCTATTTTGTTTATATAGGATTTATTTAATATACTTTTTGTATATTTTATTTATTATTTATTTCTTAAGCTTTCATTTTATTTTAATTTATTTTTATTATTTGTTCTTTTTTGAAAATTTTATTTACTAAATATTTTCTCCCCATTCCTTTGATTTTTATTACTTGATGAAAAGTTGACAAAACAAAACCACAACAAAAATGCAAATTAAATCACACACGCACACACCTGAGTGCGACACCCACCCAATCACACTATCACACAACACACATATGGCGTACCTCTCACAACAACAATTAGTTTGCACCAAAATGCACTGGATGTCGCTCTGCCGCTGCGCTGCTACTGCTCTGCTGCGTCGCTGCTACTGCGCTGCCACCGCGAAAGCCGCCGACACTTTGTTGTTGCTTTTGTTTTGGGGGGCTGCTTCTTTTGTATTTGCAAAAACACACAAAAACACAGAGGCTCACACACACACTCGCGCTCACTTGGCGGCGCCGCTTTCTTTACTCTTTTTTCAAACAAACTTTTTTCAAAAGCACACAGTAAGGCAGAAAGGCCCGCTCTCCGCTAGACCGCTATTTCCGATTCCAATTCGAATCCGACTCGACGACCGACCCGCTCGCGATGCAAAAACAAAATGAGACGGTCGCCAACAGCTGGAGCAGCCCCCATTTGTTATCGGTTCATCGGAATCGGAATAGCATTCCTAAGAGAGAGGCCCAAGAGAGAGAGAGAGAGTGGGAGCCCCCATTTTGGGGCTGTGCACTTGCTAAGTCAGAATGGGGCATTTACCGTTGGGAGTGTGTACTCGCTATTTATCGATATTTAAATAGAGAGAGAGTGGGAGCCCCCATTTTGGGGCTGTGCACTTGCTAAGTCAGAATGGGGCATTTACCGTTGGGAGTGTGTACTCGCTATTTATCGATATTTAAATTTTGTTTTATAAATTCAACAGCATTTTTAAACGTTAGCTTTATTGTTTTAACGATTATGTATCTCAAATATATGAGTTGTCTAAGTTATACAACTAAATTCAGCTAGTAGCACTTCTTACTGCACCAGTCCCAAATGCACCCGTCTTTCGGATTGCATCCCCATTCGCCGGGATATATGGCACAAAAGTCCTCGGTGTTCATAAAGGCACAGGTGCCATTGGGGCAGTAATAACTATAGCAGCCTGGGGAGCACTTATCCCGCTGTTTGTCCTTGCAGCCGGAACAATCCAAAACCTCTGTGAGGATAGGAAATTGTTATGTGAAATCAAGATTTAGAAGACTTTAATTATACCCGTTACTCGTAGAGTAAAAGGGTATACTAGATTCGTGCAAAAGTATGTAACAGCTAGAAGGAAGCGTTTCCGACCCCATAAAGTATATATATTCTTGATCAGGGTCACTAGCCGAGTCGATCTAGCCATGTCCGTCTGTCCGTCTGTCCGTCTGTCCGTCTGTCCGTCTGTATGAACGCTGAGATCTCAGAAACTACAAAAGCTAGAAGGTTGAGATTTCCCACACATATTCTTTGGCTTCCTACGCAGCGCAAGTTTATTTTAGCCGAGCGCCACGCCCCCTCTAACGCCCACAATCGCCCACTAACGATTTTAAAATGGGTCCTGCGCCCACATCTTTAAAGATTTCCAAGAAGTATAAATGCAATTTTGTTGTGTATATTTATACCTATCGAAATGTAGAAGACATTTTTCAAATCGGACCATTCATTAAAAAGTTATACGCTTTATAAATTGTCAACATATATCTATCTCCCTCGCACTCCCTTTAGCTGAGTTACGATTATTAGTCGGGACACCAACCCGACACAGCGTTCGCACTCCCTTTAGCTGAGTGACGGGTATTAGATAGTCGGGACACCAACCCGACTATAGCGTTCTCTCTTGTTTTTAAATAGATTTTAACTCACCGCTTTCCTTGCACTCCGAGGTACTGCAGGCCAGGAGTGGCGGATTGGGCGGCATCACCACCCGTTTAGGGTTTTCCCCATGGACGATCTTCGGGGGCTTGAGGTAAACCACAGGGGCCGAACAGACCCTGGGATCGCAGAACTTCTTCTCCTTGGAGGAACACACCCAGTTGGGAGCGTAGTTGATGCAGATGCGGGGACTCTTTACAAAACAGCAGCCCGGTCCAGGATTTCGACCCGGAAATGGTTCATCGACCACCGGTTGCTCCGTAGTTGGCCTCACACTGGTGAATATCCAAGGACGTCTGGTTGTCGTCGTTGTTGTTGTTGTTGTTGGTGGTGGGGCCACAATATTATCTGGTACATTTGCGGGTGTACTAAAATCGTAGGTTTTATCCTTATCCGGATCGTAGGGTGCGGCTGTAATGTACTCCACTCGGTTTATATTTTCGCTGGTCACCGTGTACTTGTGCTCGTTGTGTAACACATTGCCGATCTCAATGATTGTGGTGATATATCCTGGTTCCTGGCAACGTTTACCATACCAAACGGTTCCCGGTGGGCAGGCCGATAAAATGCAGCGACCAGCGTAGAATTCACCCTCCGAACAGACTATTTTCCGGCATTCCGAGTCGAAGAAAATGAAACCCGGCGGACAGCGAGTCAGTTCATCGAGAATGGGAGGCGGAAACGGAAGTGGTTCAGTTGTCGTTGTTGTTGTCGTTGTAGTGGTGGGTTCTGTAGTTGTAGTTGTTGTAGTAGTAGTTGGTTCTGTTGTTGTTGTAGTAGTTGTTTCTGTTGTTGTTGTTGTTGTAGTGGTGGGTTCTGTAGTTGTAGTGGTTGTTGTAGTAGTTGTGGGTTCCGTTGTTGTTGTAGTTGTTGTTGGTTCCGTTGTTGTAGTGGTTGTTGTAGTAGTTGGTTCTGTTGTTGTGGTTGTTGTTGTGGGTTCCGTTGTTGTGGTTGTTGTAGTGGGTTCCGTTGTTGTTGTTGTTGTTGTGGGCTCAGTTGTTGTAGTCGTGGTTTCAAAGGGGCAGGGCTCTGGATTAGTCCGATAACACAATGCATCAGTGCTAAGAAAATAACCTAAGTATAATTAAGAAATTTAGTAAGGATTGTAAAGTTTGCGAGATATTATTTATGAGAATCCTTACCAGGGGGACACTTAATATTAGTCTGTGGGTAACATTTTCCATCTGTGCTTAAGTAGTGGCCTAATGAAAGAATAAAATTAGCATAATTTAAAGTAAGAAAATAATAATACATTTAAATTCCACAACAAAATTCGGTCGGAATATATTTGTTTGAATTTTTGTTTATTTTCTGTGCTATTTAAAAACAATCTGTGATTATTTTTACTAATGACCACACTATGTTGCTGATAATATTGGCCAACAGTTCGTATACATAATTATTTTTAGTACCCTGCGATTAAAGGTCTGCGAGAGATAGAGATCTTACCTTCGGGACAAGTGGATGAGCTGTAGCATTTGCCTTCAATATACTGGTATCCCGCCGGACACAAGGGATCCTATTAAATAATATGAGCTTTAGGATCGGGAAGCAATCATCAGCTGGATTAGCGTTGATTTACCAAGATATCTGCTTGAGCATTTCCGCAGATTGCATTGATGAACAGCCAGGCGAACAGAAGCGATCTCATCGTAGTCATACTGCGTGAGTTCCGGATCGAAATCTCGGTAATCTGAAACAGCGATTCGCGATGCGCGGCTGTCCGCTTTTAAAGAGAGACTAAACTATTCGATCCGGCGGTGAGCTCACTGGGATGATTCTGAATGGGAAGCATAATTGCTGGCGCCGCGATAACCTTCTCCGCGGGCCCTAAACCCCAGATAATGGTGAAGGTCGCTCGGCTGTGGCCAGAGCTTCAGCTGTTCCTGATCCGCAATCGGTGAGTCGGGTTCAGTTCGAATCGGCATGTCTGATTGGAAAGTGCGTTTCCGGCAGCTGCCGCTGCTGCTGCTAATCTGTTTTGCACTATTCTCCGACGAGGTTATCGGAAACTTAATACCGAATCCCTGCCAGAATGGTAAGTTCAACCTGGAACTCCTTAACTTTTGGGCCTATCATTGCTGTTTCTTATCTCCCAGGTCAGGTTTATGCCAATGGCGTTTGCAGTCCCATTATTGTGAATATCTTCAATGGCCTGTGCGGCGGTCAAACTGGTATTCCTTGCAATCCTGTAAATACGGTGGTGGTTCCTGGTACCCCCGGTTGTCCCAATGCTCCAGTGAAACCGGTAACTCCTGCTTGTCCGAATGCTCCTCTAAATCCTATAGTGGATCCGGCTACTCCTGTGGTTGTTCCTGGCAATCCTGCCTGTCCAAATGCTCCTTTAAAACCTACAGTAGTAGATCCGGTAATTCCAGCTTATCCCAATGATCCTACGAAACCCATAGTTGTTCCTGGTACTCCTGCATATCCCAGTGATCCATTGGATCCTGCTTGTCCGAACGCCCCTTTAAAGCCTACAGTTGTGGATCCTGTAGTGCCTGTAAATCCTGATTGTCCGAATGCTCCTTTAAAACCTACAGTGGTGGATCCAGTTACACCGGCCTGTCCCAATGCTCCTGTTAAACCCACAGAGGTTCCTCCTTCTTGTCCTAATAGTTGTCCTAATAACTGTCCCAACAATTGTCCCAATCCCGGTAGTACCAATTGCCCTAACAATAGTACTCCTTGCCCTACTCCTTCAACAACACCTGCACCACAACCGATCACTACACCTCCACCAAATACTACACCCCATCCGAAACCAACACCACCACCGGATACCCTTCTCCGTTGTCCGGGAGGAACTATCCTGGTAAGGGGCCAGTGCCGCCCACTTTACTGCGGAGGCCATGGAATTTACACCGACGGTCGCTGCATCCAGGCCCGCTGTCCTGCAGGATATGCCTGGACGGGCATCCGATGCTCGAAGCCAAAGCCTGTGGAACTCGGTAACATCCACATCGAGAACACTGTCCACCAGTCGTCTGGAACTCAGCCCCATCTGACCAACGACAATGTGAACAACCTGCTGATCAACGCCTCCATCGCCATTCAAGGTCAAACCTCCTCCGAGGAGGAGGAGGATGAGGAGGAGGTGGGGAATATAGTGGTCCCCCAGCCGCCTTCAGGACCCTGCTGCAATGTGTTTGCCCCCCGGATTTGCACCACTCAGGCGGCTCAGGTGGGCTACAAGTGCTTCAGCCGCAGCCAGCAGCAGTGTGGTGCCTTCTGCAGTGCCAACAAGGTGGTGCTCACACCGCCCAATGTGACCACCTGGACGGAGGCCAACTCCCAGATGCTGGTCATGCCACCCAATTGGGCGGGCCAGAACTGCCAGTCCATCGGCGGCATCTGCCAGCAGGCTCAAAGTAAGTTTTAATATTAGTTTCGAAATTATAGATTAAATATTAAATATTTTTGTGTCCCCTCTAGACTTTTACGACTGCAGCGGCTGTGCATTGGGTAATATTTCGACCTGCTCCTCGTACTGCTACTCCTACAAGTGCAGCAACCACAACTGTGCCTATTTCGAACAGTCCCAATACTGCTCTCTGTATCCTGGACAAATCGGCTGCCGAGCGGCTGATGGTTGGTTCCCCAGCCAGTAAAATTCATCTAGCTCAAACTATACAAATTAAAGTTCTGTAACGTTGAGTAATACATTTTACAACAAAATTTAAAAGATTATTTCTGTAAAGTAGTTATCTTTCCCTATATATTGCGTAGAAATTAACAGAACAATCAATTAGTCATGACCGATAGCTGCCAGGGAATTAGGTTATGCAATCGCATATGATATCATTTATTACTGACCACTCCCAATAAAAAACTAAATAAAAATAAAAAATTAAATATACTTGAGCCTAGTCAATACTTAAAGCCCCTCAAAATATCTCTAAATTCCTTACTTCCTTGACAATAATAGTTTGCCAACTTGACGTCACAGGCCAAAGTGTTGATATGAGATGATAGTGCGTCATTTTTAAAAATTCCAGGCGCCATATCAATAAAAAAGAGAGCTTTAAATTTGGCAGTTACATTTACTTATATATTTAGTAAAGACTTTAAATGAGTACCCATATGTTGTGTGATTTCTACTATTGTATAGTTGGTTGCAAAAACCTTATCAGCCTTATAATAAGCCGATGATGATCGTTCGTTTTTTCTATAATTGTGCAGCATGTTGAACCGCAGAATTCCGAGTGATTCGGCTGGCAATTGAGTGAAAGCTTCGCCAGCAATCAATTCTTTGATAGTGTTATCTAACCTTATCTTCAAGGGTAGGTGGGGGGTTGGGTGGGTGGTTCCTTAGCCGCCACTCAACCATTGCAGTTGGGACTCTACTTTTCGCACCTGCGGACGTACCATAAAATCGTTGCGAACCGAAGAAACCGCCAAACATTATCGATAATGCCGCATTCCAAGGTGAGTAATAAACTACCGGGATCACCAAAAGTCCGAGAATTCCGGCTGTTTTTAATGCTAATTGGAATTTTCAAAAAGCCAGGTGACTAAACCAGTGCCAAAAAATGTCAAGGCAATCTTTTTTCTTTCGCACCTTTCTTATCAACCGATTGTTATGAAATTTGCCTGATTGTCAGATGGTAGCGAATTTGATGGGCCTATTAATTTTGAAGATAACATCACATGTTATTGATTTTGGCGTCCTAAAGTAGTAGACAAATGAAGTAAAATAACTAATTAAATAGCTATTAATAAAGATATTATTAACAAATATATTGCTTAATTAAACATATTTATTTTAGTATTTATTATAACTTTTTTTAAAGTTTTATAAAAATTCGATGACTTACACTGATTGATTCACACTTTGATTTTGTTTATTTTTTGTTTGTTAATCATCGACAACGAAAGCGATGAGATGTTGAATATAGGTTTGAAATCTAATCTTATCTTAAAAGGGGGAATACGGAAATATTTAAAGTAAATTGCTGGCTTCCCCATTTCTGTATAAAAACATCAAGTCATGAAAATGAAGTAATTGTTCAACCGATTAGCCAGGAACTGTAGAAAAAATGTGATTTAAATATACACTCTAAAATCCAAGATTCCTTAAATCAGAATTAATTATTATATTACCTTTGCAGCACCTGTGGGCGGTGATTGGACTCCTCCACTTGCTGACCTTTGCCACCAGCGCCGAGGACCAGCTGAAAAACAGCACGATAGTGGTGCAAACCCCGCTCCAAAACTACGAACAGCCCACTCTTCGGGACTATGAGGAGTGTCAGGCGAACAGGGACAACTGCCTAAGTGTCTGCGATGGCAGACAGGACTGCGAGGATGAGTGTCCTGTGTGCCCGGAACTCTACGAAAAACCCCTGATGGTCCAGGGCGTTAACGATACGGATTTGGTGGCACCTCCCCAAGCGCCCATTAACACCACCAACATTATTCGCCTCACCAACGAGATCAACAATATAATCGAGCACCAAATCCTGAACCGAAACGAGGTCAATGTCCAGGTGCAGCAGAATGTCTCCCAGGTGGGAGGACGTTTTGGACTGGGCTACAGTGAGCAGGGATCCTGCTGCTATGTGGTGCGATACGAAAGGGAGTGTGAAGCAGCGGATGGTCATAGCTGCAAGGAGAAAAGCCGCCAGAGGGTTTGTGGCGAAAGGTGCCAGGCCAGAGTGATGTTGGTCAAGAGAGTGGTCCAATGCGATGACGAAAATACAAACGAGTGCAAGGAGACCCTCGAATATGTGCCAAGGAGGAGGAGACACCATTCCAGAAAATCCACCCGATCCACGGAGTGTCAATACTTGGGAAACACCTGGCCCTATTTTACTTGCGGCCAAAATCCAGGACAAAATGGAGCCTTGATTCAGCCACCGAGGGTGAAGCGTTCCACCTGCCAGCAGTGTCTCAATTATCCCTATGGATATATCCTGCAAAACGGTCTGCCCGCCCAGTGTGCCGGTTGTTTCCAGGGCTTTGGAGCGCCCATGATGCCCATGTATAGCTCTCCCTACATGTACAACCCATTTATGGGATATCCACAGTTTGGCAACTATCCACAAATGAATAATAATGGAAATAATAACGGAAATAACAATGCAAATACTAATGTAGATAGCAACATTGCAGGCTCAGGCGACGATGGTTGGATTTTATGCGACGATGATAATATCGAAAATTGCCTAAACAACAAGGATACCAAGAGCTCTCAGCAGGGACCCCCTGCTCATCTGGAACAGCAAACGGAAAAGGATTTTGATTACGATTCGGCCGAGAACAACGTTGAAGTCATGCGGAGAAGACGTCGTCATAACCGTCGCAACTTTGTGCGATCCTCTTACAGTAAACGCCATCGCGAGGACTAATCATCTATTCCAAATTCAACCACAAACTCTTGAGATTTTCCGCAAACCTTTTGCCACAATATCTAATAGTTTTTTTGGTGAACCAAAACATAAAGGATAATTTATATAAAACTACTACTAAACTCGCCATTTGTATATAATAATTTACCGAATAAAGGATTTCTTCAAAGCCCTAATATCTACTCATTTTTATGACCATTAGGGAACAAATATTAGTATCGCTGGGAGGTCGAACTTTTTATGGTTGCAGAATTACCTCAACTATTTTTATATAACCCCGATAACTTATCAGCGATTGAGTGCAATTAACATCCAGGCAGAGTGTACTTTAAATAACGATTTATTTGATAGGCAGGGTACGGAGCAGGGAGACCTCGTTCTCCTTATAGACTAAACAACGTTTAATAAAATCTGGATTCGTCCTGCTCGAATGCTTTCGCTTGCGATCGGGGCATACATAATTAGTTAATATTTTTGATTGGATGTGAAAACATTTGTTCTGGCATTTCAATTGCAGGTAGATAGTTTCGTAGGCTTCTGGGGCGGGGTTCTCAATCGCCTCCTCCTCCCCTCGTCCCTCGATGAACAGTTGTGGAACCAGACTACTAGAACTTATGGTAATATTGCGCGTGTGTTGAATTTAGTTGGTTTGTTCGCTACAATTTTAAAGGCCGTCAGATTGGCGAAGAGCTCTACTTGATGCCCAATTCCTTGAGTTCGGTTTCCTCATCCACAGAGTCCTCATCATCTGAGCCGTGAACCGATGGAGCTGGAGTGGTGTGGCCTGTTGGAATAAATTAAATTGTTAACATTGAATATTTATAAAATCATTTCCAAGGTTTACGCATTCCAATCAAGATTTGATTTTAACTGTATATTTTTTTTTTATAGAGGAAAATCTTTAATCAGTTTATATAATTACTATTCCAATTTTTTAGTTGTCTCAAAAGTATTCAATGATTTTTTCCGGTCCTTATCAGCATATATGTAATAAAAATGCATATATGCACATCCGAATATTAAATTAAAATAAATTGCTGCTTACTTTTAGACTTGATTTTATTTTAATAACAAATATTTAAAGCTGCTTAAGAAAAATTTTACGCAGAGAAAGTTAAAGTGCAATGTGGAATGTGCAACAGTTGTTTTATTCGAAACTCTACCAAAATAGTCAACAGTTAAAAGCTTTTCTTTTTAAAATGTTTGGAATGTTTGGAGTATATTTTGTACAAATATAGAAAGGCCTAGCGATCTGTCTCTTCTTCCTCCCACTTACGCGATGAGGTTGGGCTGGGCGGTTCGCTGTGCGGTCGTGAGAAAATCAAATTGTTTTTCGATCCGTAGAGAGTCAGCTCGTCCACATAGTCGGGGTAAACAGCCTGCAAGGCCTTAACCCTGGCCTGTCTGTAGTACTGTAAAGATGATACATTTCAGTATTTAGAAATGGTTTTAAAGCAATATTAAATAATACTTACAATGCCCAGGGTACGCCAGTCCAGAAGATCGCTCAGCCGCTCCGTGCGATTACGCTGGATGATGCGCTGGCGGCGGTTCAGCCGGGAGAAGTCCATCATGAAGCTGGAGAGCTGCTGAACGCTGTTCTCCAAGCCAATGTAGCGACGATCCACGATGTAGATGCCGTAGGACTTGGGGTCACTGATGTGCTCCTCCATGAAGCAGCCGAAGCCGGACAGATTGGTGGTCACGCTGGGGATTCCCATCACCGTGCACTCGGCGGGCGTGTAGCCCCAGGGTTCGTAGTACGAGGGGAAGACTCCCAGATGGCAGCCGCGCACGAACTCCTCGTAGTCGATGCCGAACAGGGGGTTCGTTGAGGTCAGGAACTCTGGATGGAAGACCATCTTCACGCGATCGTGACGCGAGTTGAACAGATGGCAGCGACGAATCGAGGAGAGCACCGGATCGTTCCAATCGTCGGCCACATTGTGCGTGGTAACCGGCGGCATCGAATCGCGTTGCATGGCGAACATACAGCGCTTGATCTTCACCAGATCCTCCTTCTGGAGCAGATCATCGGCACTGGGGATGTTGCCCTTCAAGCAAGTATCAAACATCCGCTTGCCCACCGCCTGTTGGACGTTGTTGATCGTATCGCGCAGCTGCTTGATCACCGCATGGCCACGCAGCGAGTCCACATTGAAGTTGTTCGTCTTGGTGGGGAAGATGAGGAAGGCCACCACCGTGGTGTCCGGCTTCTCGTGCTTCAGCATCGCGTTCAAACGGGCCAGGGCCTCGATGAAGATGTCGGCGCCCTTGTTGCCGAACTCGTAGCGACCGGCGATGAAGAAGTACAGGGTCTTGTCCAGATCAAAGTCAATGTGGCTGGGGGATTAGAAGGTTTCGATTAATAATATTATTAAAATATTTAAACTTAACAAACATTATTGATAAGAAATCATGATGCTGAATTCAGGTAAACATTTAATCATTAAATCTATTTAAAATGTTAGCTGGCTTTATAATCTAGTTCCATTAATTTCAAAACATTGAATTGCTATTAATTTGAAATCATATAATCATGCATGTAGATTACAGATAGTCATGTTTCGATCGATTAACCTTTATTCAAGGGTGTAGAGTATTGAAGGCATTTCCGCATAACATTCAGTATTCAAATACAGATTATATAGATTTTATAGACTCACCCGTAAAAGTGTCCCCGCACAAATTCATTGATCTTCTCCTTGGCGACGGCATGCAAGTTCTGGAACTCGTGGATGGCCGAGAACTTCTTCACATTCAGCCCATTCGGCGTGATGATGTCCGGCTTGCGTTTGAGCAGATGCTCCGCCTCGTAGCCCGTAATCTCGGAGACGGTGGTGAACACATGGGCCAGGTGGGTGGCACCTCGCTCCAGGCAATAGCGATGGTAGATCTGCCGCTTGCCCGCCTCCTCGTCCACGGCGAACTTATCCAGGTTGTTGTAGAAATCCGTGTTGCCAGCGCACAAATAGCGACCCAGCAATGTGGCGTGGGTGGTGAAAACGGTGGCAATCTCCACCAGACGAGTGCGTAGGACAATGAGAGCCACGCCAGCCTGCCACTCATGGAAATGGGCCACAATCCTCGGGGCACTCAACTCGTTGTTTTGCGAATAGGTCACGGCAAAGTTGCGGAACTCCTCCAAAAACTCGGCAATCATGAAGCCCAGGATAATAGCATCGTTGGTCTCGATATCCAAATGAGGTATTCCAATGTGGCACTTCTCCCACATCTCCGACTTGAACTGATCCAACTTCCAGGCGGCGGATCCGATGTCGAAGAGGATCAGCTGGGGATTTCCGTCCACCAGCCAGCGACCGGTGTGGATTTTATACCCACGCGAACGGAGCGAGTTGACGGCATCCAGAAGGGGGTTTCCCCGGGGGAACTCCATCTCCTCCATCTCGGTGCGGGCACAGTTCTCCTTGTAGGGACCCATCATGCACAGCTGCTCGCCCATCTCCTCGGTGGACACATAGGCCTTCGACCGGATCACCGTGTAAATGCCGCCCACCTTGTTGGCCACCTCCCATGCCACCTCGAAGTTCCATCGGTTCTCCCGCGAGGCGATGTCCCCGCGATCGAAGTAATCCTTTAGGTCCGCCCCGGACTCCACTCTCGAAAAGCGACGATTCATCTGGAAAGGAAGGAAGAATGTAATTTAAATTAGTTTTTAATTATACGATGTCTTGGTTTTTCCCTATCAAATCCCCACCCTCAGGGCATAGGAGGTGGACTCATTGTCCTCGAAGCGATAGGACTGCTGCCTGCGCATCTTCTTGATATGCTGCGAATGCTTTAATCTAGGCGCCGCCGATCTATAGCTGAACCTCTCCGCTGAGGCTCTCGTTGCGGACTGATAGTGTCAACTAAATTTAGCCACCGGCTTGACCCATATTACAAGCAGCGATTCCTTATCGCCTTACAGTCGTGCATGAAAAAAAATCGTATACTTCCTACATAAAATTCAATCAGTATTTTAAATAATATCTCAAGTTAAATAGATTATTTTAACAACGGAATGAGACAGATCTAAGTTCAAAACCTTTTTAATTTGTAATTAATTCAAATCCCAGTAATTCTCAGTAATTTCTCCCGGTGCATCGACCGCTCTTGATGTTGTATTTGCTGGGCTGGTCATTGTCATCACACGCCGGCATTTGTTGCATCACCACGCAGCGAGGTGCGATCGATCCTCTATCAGCCGAATGCAGTTGCATCGGTGCAGTTTATGGGCTGATAAGCCCCGCCTATGCGACATCGCCCATGTCCCTGACAGTCGGTCATTTATGTACATTTAATAGTATATACGAGTGCGAACGTGCCATATTCCGTACTTATAGATGAGGACGCACGTTGGCCGTCCATAAACCAAAGGTCTATTTTCGGATGTCGGAAATGTCCGACATCATCGGGCAAAGATGAGTTTGCCAATTTTCCGCTCTATATGTACACGGGAAAATTTGGCAAATGTTTTCATTGTCAACGTCAGAAACTGAGAGGAAAACGCTGTAAGCGCCAGTTACCATTGGGTACAGTTTTGGTTACAAATTATCCAAAATAGGGGAAAGTCAAAAAGGTATTTAACTTCCAAATCGTTTACTTAATTCTATTAGTCAATAAAAATAATTGTATTTAATTTTTCCTATTTATTCTACTTTTGACAAGTATTCGTTCATCAATTCAAAGAAGTAATGAGTTCCGTAGGGTGTTGAATTTTTAATTGGATATTGTCCAGAATGACCTTGACAAACAAAGAATTTTAGAGGCCCATAAAATACATTGAACTCACAGAAACTTTTTGCTCAATAAGCTTTAATGAATTTCTTAAGACTATAAAAGCATTTAACACACCCCATAGCTATCTAATCGGTGTTGACATAATAAATAACAATTTAACTTTTCTAACTTTAACTTTCTTTAAGCCAGTTAATTAAAATTGGAAATCATTTTATTAGAATTCAGAAGTAAATTAATTATGCAAATTTTAAATATAAAGGGAATGGAATATGTTTATATTAAATCCGATAGAACCAGTTTTTGTACTCCCATTCCATCAAAATTCTTCCAAAGGTCGCGTTTTGTAATACTGATATCTATCTTTGCACAAGTCACAATAGAGATACTTGCATCGGATTATCTTTGTATCTTAACATTTTTACAGGACTTTATT